GTACTATTGCCAACAACTGCAACAATTATTTGGAAACCTCTTTCAGCATGATTAAGAGTTTTGAAAAATCATTTCCTTAAAACAACTTTACTTGCAGCACTTTTATGATAAATAATAACAGTGTTCTGGGTATAAAAATGAAACTTGTAGACCAGGGTTTGAACTACGGACCTCAAATCAAGGTCCAATGATAAAAAATTAGCCCTTCCCAACTGAGTTTCCTGTTTGTCTCGGTCAAGTTAGTCTAACCCGACACGAAATTAAGGAACAGTGACTGTATGTTTGTAGTTGGAATAAACATTACATGAATGACGGAAAATAATGCGTCGCTTAGTTATGAATACCATAGGGTGTTATTTTCAGATAATACATTTTGTTCTATAAAACATAATGTTAAAATCAGCTTAAAAATCATTATCATGTGTGTAATACAATAACAGAAATGTATATGCATCATATACAGCATAGGTTCCGAAACAGGACATTAAATCCAAAGAACATTTTATTGTCGCCAGACCTTCCTTTATGAATAATAAACGTTGGATATTCCAATAATTTTCCAGAGGTTATTTCATCAGGTGTTTTTCCTTAAACGATAACCCATCACTATCGTGCTTTCAATTTATTGTGAATGCAGTGATTATTTCCTCTGGTCCGAGTCGAATGGACGGTAAAATGTATTTGACTTGCTTGTGTTTCCGACGCATTGATTTTTTTGTAGAACCTATAACTAGTTTCGTCCTTGTAAAATATATCTTTGATGGGACCAGAACCCATGATAAAGTCAGAACCTGTGGAATACAGTACTAGACCTTGTAGAGGGAACCAAGCTAAATTATACAACACCCTTCTATAAACCAATGCTGACCTTTGCTATTCCAGGAAAAATACTGTTTAGTATCAAAAATGTAGAGAAAAATACACTCACTGTTTACAACTAATGTGACATGCCTGTTATAAAATTAAGAACCGTCTATTATAGTGGGAAGGCTTATCAGGACCTGTCGTCAGAAAAAAATTCTGATCTGACTAAATTGTCCGGGGTTTAAGCGAGCCAGAACATATGTTTAACACGATTTCAATGAGGGCTGATATGCACGTCCGGAAAAACTTCAGATGTCCTTAACTAACGCCTACATACTGCGACTGTTCAATAGCTGATACCAAGTACAATTGCAATTGTTTTTATTTTAAAATCAATCCTAGACTGAACGATTTAAAAGTATAACACTTGAAGGCTTTGACAGCGGATGTTGATAATGCCTGCGTGTAGCAGATTACACGACAAGGGAAACTGTATAAAGAGTAGACTACCGATTAGGGTCAAGGCCAAGTTGGAAAACCAGCTTTGCTTAGGATATTAAAAACATATAAATGTTGTCTTTTTTCTCTTTCGATAGTTCTTTTTTAGTTTTTGTCTGGGTTAATTTTGGGAAATTTATCAAACATGAGATATTTGATTTTTGAGAGTACATCGTTCCTCACATTGGCCGCTTCTTAAGTGTTACTAAAATTTATCTTTAATTTTACTTAAACAACTTATTTTATGTATCAGAAACGCGGTTCAATGAGTCTGTTGATTTGTCTATTTCTACAAAAGCATCGTTCATAACTACATGAACGATAAATGTTATCTACTAAATGACAACACAGCAGCTTTATATAAGCTTAAAGTTATATAGAAAAAACAACTTATTCATCCAAAGCCAATCGAACTGTTTTTGTAATCGAAGTAATTTTGCAAGTATCATATTAATTTGTTCAGAGAAACAGAATTTACCAGGAGTTTACCCGTATGTATAAGGTTAAATATATAATACCCAATTGTATAAGATTACGAAATGAGCATCAACATGTATTTATCTGTACGTATTATAAATCCTGAAGGAATAGTTTGGTTTGTTTGTGTTTAACAGCTATGGTCATTCAAGGACGTACCAGGTTTTGGTGGTTAAGGAAAGCCGAAGTTACCGGAGAAAATACTCCGACTTACGGCCAGAATATGGCGACTACCCCACTTAGGTCTCGAACCAACAACCCAGTGGTAGATGGCTAGTTATTTCATGCGAAACACCATTTGATGCAGAATTTAGTATCAGACTCTCACACGTTGATGACACTCTTCGTTTATCGTGCATGGGCTTGAGTGTAACAATGACAGTCCACATTTTAGTAGATGGTTCATGGCGTATTTGAGGTGGTTATGTAGATAATGAAATGTGCACCTCATGTTCTGGTATAATTGCATACGTTTCAGTCACGGCCAGGGGTTTAAGCTACTCTGCTGTTTCTACTCTAAACTACTACCTGTTACACCTTCGTTGTGTCGTTCTTTGCTTAGATTGCTGTTGGTTTATCTCTTCGTCTGTTACGGCACGATTTCTCACCCGGACACGTTCCATTCAGAGGTGTATAACACACATACGCGTGAACTATAAGCTTACATCGCTATTTAACACTTACATCACAGCTTATTTCCTTCTTCTGCAGAATCGAGGCATTACGACAAAGAACTACACGGGTTTAAATACCTACAAACTCAGGTAGCTCTTACCTGCATGATTTGCTACACACACTTCAGGGATAAAGACCCGGAATACTTAGAACCTAAAGACTCAAATACCCTTCAGAGAGGAACATGAACTTACTGCCTGGGTGTCTGTAGCTTCAAAGAGGAACAAGGACTTACTGTCTGAGTGTCTGTAGCTTCAGAGATGAGCATGGACTTATTGTCTGGGTGTCTGTAGCTTCAGAGATGAGCATGAAGTTACTGTCTGGGTGTCTGTAGCAGAGAGGAACATGAAGTTACTGCCTGGGTGTCTGTAGCTTTAGAGAGGAACATGAACTTACTGCCTGGGTGTCTGTAGCTTCAGAGATGAGCATGAACTTACTGCCTGGGTGTCTGTAGTTTCAGAGAGGAACATGAACTTACTGCCTGGGTGTCTGTAGCAATCGGGAATTATATCATATTCGTACTGTCAATCCTTCAAAAAATATTTTTTGCTGCAGACAAAATAGAAAACCGATTTGTTTATTTTGTCGTTTCTATATCTTATTTGTACCTTCTAGGTTTAGGATGCGTAAACCAATGGCGTGGTATATGGTATCTGCTGGATACCGTCTAAAGTAAAGCTCTACCAATACTCTATGTAAGCTACAGAAAACCACTACTGTTTATCGGTCGTTAGTTGGCAACATATGTAACCTTCTTTAACCTAATTGATAGATACATCTGCCCTTTATGTATTTGCCTATTACTTATACAGTCAAAGATTTTAGACGAGCTTTATTTTTTTTCCATTGTGGCTCCTTATATTCCGTCTTTGCGTATTGCAGAGTTATCCTCTCTTGGGAGGAGGTATTGATTGTTACGTCATTGGTTTGTGTGAGAAAATTACGTCGTTTTCTCATAAATTGATGACGTTACTCTCACAAACAAGTGACGTAACAATCAATACCTGCTCCCAAGAGAAGATAACTCTGCAATACGCAAAGACGGAATAAACACTTTCAAAATAATTATGATCATAGGACTTATATAATAAAGATAAAGACACTGGATATATGTTACAAGGACAAATTAGTTCAATAAGTTCAACTTAAAGGTGAATGCGTCGGAAACAAATGCAGGTCAAATAGACTTTACCGTCCATTCGGCTCGGACAAGAGGAAATATGTTTATGATTGATAAAATTAAAATCGAAAACACCAATATCACTTAATTTACAATAACCTTATGTTCTTGCCTAGAATTGTATGTCGGAACATTGAACTTATAATGCCATCATTTTATTGCTTTTATAAACTTGTATCCCACGTAGTAGTTACACAAATGCATGCGTAATTCAGAGCTGCTTATTTGATACGTTTTCCAATTTTGCCAATTATTATCAAAACAATTTACATCTTTTTCAAGTTGATAATCCTTTTGGTGAACATTTTTCTTACATTGAATGTTTGCATAGTAGTGATACAATCAAATTTAAGATATTAAATAAAGCTCCATATTACTTTCAAGACTATTTTAGTAATGTATACAATGCACTTAAACACTGTGGAGAGGGATTATCAGTCAAGTAATCATCATAGAAAAGGAATTCGAGGTGGCAACATATTAAGTTTTCTTCAAGGATGTATATTTAAATTTGAAGGACTTTTTCCGGTTAATGAATTATTTGTTGATGATAATCAATCCTAATAAACTTAACCTGCTTCCCACAGTAAACGAATATCGAAATCTGAAACCCACATTGGTTTGTACTATTTGTATGTCTGAAATTAAATGTCTACCAGAAATATAAAAAAAAATCCTGCAATTTTTATTAGCTGCTAAAATAATCTTTTAGAAAAATCATGTTTTAACATGTTCAAAGTACTATTTTAAAATAATTTCATTTCGGATGTTTCCAAATTTTAATTTTAATATAACTTTGTCATATCTCAGTTTTAACAAAATATTTACCTCAACGAAATTCTGCAATAGTTAATAACAACTACACGTGTAATCAATTCATAATTTTAGCAATCATAAACAAAGGAAGAGGATAAGGATGTACTTTATCAAATGAAAATGCAATGTCAGATATGTATAAAAAACACGATTTTGTTTGTACCTGTGAAATTGTCACTAACACATCCTAAGTCAACAAATAGACATCACTAAGCACACGCCCATGTTATAGTAAACAGGCCGATTTAACTATTGCGTTATAAGGGGGTCTACTTACATCTTCAAAGGGTAGACGGCGATGTAATATCACCCGAAACGGCGTGTACACTGCAAATTGTGTATACGAGGTCAAGGTCGTAGTTGTGAATTTAAAGGTAAAGCTGTATAGCACGTGTTATAAAACGTACTTCCTTTATGTTTTTACATTTTCTTTTGTAAATGAACATGTATCTTATAAAGTGGCTCTAAACAAGAATAAGCACTACATTGTCATCAATGGCGGTTTCTTGCAATTACTTTTTACTTGCGATGGCAAACTCATTGATCAATCTGATAGTGATTGCACCTCTGGTTGTTTTCTACTGGAGAGGTACATGGCAAATAATGGACGTATATAGCTTCAAAGATGAGCTTGAACTTTCTGCCTGGGTGTCTGTAGCAGTTGGGAATTCTATCATATTCGTACTGTCAATCCTTCAAAAAGTATCTGCTGCTGCAAACAAAATAGAAAACCGACTTGTTTATTTTGTCGTTTCTAGATCTTATTTGTACCTTCTAGGGTTCGGATGCGTAAACCAATGGCGTGGTATATGGTACCTGCTGGACATTTATACCGGGATAACATGGCAAGGTGCCACCGGAACTTTACTTTCTGGCGCATGCGCTTTATGTTGTTTTCGATGCTTCAGGAGTTCTCTAGCCTCTCCGCTGGTTTTACAACTTGACAATGACAGAGCCAGTATGTTCACGTTAACAGGGAGATTATCATCTAAGGTGAGTGACAAGCCTTGTTAGCAAAATGAAGTGTGCTGTCATTTATTAAAAATATCGAGTTTTTACTGTACAAATTAACAATGCTTGTTATTTTAATAATGAAAGAATTTTGTATGTATTTTCCTTAATTTCGTTCCGTTCACAATACTGTTTTGAAAGTATTAACTCTGTAAGAACATTAGATTTTATTTTATTTAGGATCAACATTACTTTAAACATGACCTAAACACGCTCACTATCATGAAACAATTTAATTTAAGCTTTCCAAAATAAATCAAATTCAGTCATATCAACCTGACAGTTTTTAAAATGACAGCATTTTGTTGGTAAGGTAGATTTAGACACATATATAATGATGTAATTTGACAGTAACAATATTTGTTGGTACAAGACATCCGATGTACCTATAGTCCTGTGCTTTTATCTTTGAGGTTTTGTTCATTTTCAATGTAGTACAACACCTATAATGAAAAATAAATTACATACGTTTTCGTTATTTCTTTTACGCACAGATTGCCCCAAACCCGATGTTTGCGTTGGACATATGCCTCACTGTCTTTATAATCAACAACTTCGTAGTATTTTATTGGCGTGGAATGTGGACACTATTCGACCTCTTTCTGGTTCCAGAGAACACACTCAGGTCTGCCGCATACTGCTTTACTATTAGCTTCACTTTGGCAATCCCGGTTCTTATCGGTCAACATGCTGTCCAACTGGTGTCCCAAAAATTACACGAGAACATGTGTCTGCTGCAGATTGTATTTGAGGACTTTTTCATGGCGTTGGCTGGAATTGTGTGTATATGTCACTGGAGGGGAACGTGGCTTTCCCTTGACGCGATCTTTTTCCCAAATAATGAAGAATTGAGTGTCTGGGGATCGCATGTGATCGGATATGTAGGTCTCATATTGTTGTGTTCTTTCAAAAGCTCTTTGAGTTGCGGCTGTGCGATAGATAAAACTATTCATGAAGTGGAACACAGTATATTTGATTTGAAATTCTTTTCGAAATTCAGGATACAACAAGCAGCCACGCATTCCTTTACTCCGGCTACAGAAATGTAATAGGCTTGTGTCTTAACCCGTCAGCCGTTTAGGAGTTTATACTGTCAATCTCTCCACGACTGGCATTCACATGTACATAATTAGTAGCAAACCATATATGATGAATATTTATTTAACTATGATTATTTGACATTCGCAAAAATAATCTTATTTGATCTAGTTTTCGGTCCTTTTGCTATTCACAACTTGTAAAGGTTAACACTGTATACTAAATTTAAGTGGTTTTGAAAAATAAATTGATTTTTTCACAGAAAATTCATGGGAAAATAATTATTTCATGTTTTCATGGGTTTTTCATGGGATTATCACAGGTTTTTCACAGCATTGCTCTCCAGTAGTGATAACTGATCAAATAAAAGGGTGGTATTTACATGACGTCTTTGCAAAGATTCTAAAATGCAGAGGTGAAGAGGTGAGTTTTGATGCCCCTCTTGAACTTGGCCAAAGGAAGCTATTCCACAACGTAGCCGAAACCCTCCCAAAGTATCTGTTTCCGTAGGTCAAAGTACGAGATTTTGGGACACACAACAAAGATTCTGACTCCGACCGCAGTGATATTGACGGCTGATACAGGGTAACAAGCTCCTGTAGGTACTGAGGAGCTGTTCCATTCAGTGCCTTGTATGTGTATACCAGAATTTTGTACTGCGACCTGTATCGTACAGGTAACCAGTGCAACGAATAAAGCGCAGGTGTGATGTGCTCTCTCTTTCGAATACGAGTAACTAGCTGTGCTGCAGTGTTCTGGACCCTCTGTAGACGACTGGTTAGTTTGTCAGATATACCACAGAGCAGGGCGTTACCATAATCCAACCGAGAGGTAACAAGTGAATGCACCAAAATCGTGCATGCATCTGCAGTTAGAAACTGCCGAATACAGCCGATGTTCCTGATCTGGTAGTAACAGGATTTGACAATAGCGTTCACTTGTTTCTCCTTATTCAGAGAGCTATCAAAGTATACCCCTATGTTTTTAACAGCTGGAACAGTCTCAATAGTTCTGGCACCAGCCTTGAGCTGGAGAGCCATTGTTTGCTGACACTTTGGGGAAAAGACGATTAGTTCCGTCTTTTCCTGATTAAGTTTAAGCATGTTGGAGTTCATCCAGATGCTGATATCTGTCAGACAAGCTTCCAGACTTTCTTAGACTGTATTCCAACTGTCCTGTGGTTTTATGACCATGTCAATGTGTGCGTCATCGGCATAGCAATGATAGCGAAGGCTATGGCGACGACACATCTCTCCAATCGGTTTGGAGTACACACAATATGTTCGTGGTCCTAACACCGACCCTTGAGGAACCCCGAAATCTAATACTTTGTCATGTGAGGTGGCAAATCCGATGGCCCCACACTGTCGTCGTTCACTCAGGTATGACTGCTGTATCCAGCATAGTGCGGTATCAGTCACTCCATAAGAGTATTCCAGATATTTAATTATATAGCTCTCATACGTGTTGGTTGTTTCTTTAAAACATGCAATATCTTATGTCTGTTTGCGTAATACGTCTCTGGCATTGTATCGCAATATGGGGGATAAAAGTAGGTTGGATAGGAGAGTACAATGAAAAACAGTTTAAATTATGTATTTAATTCATGCTAAAATTATTTTGTTCCCTTGATTCGGGGTGGTGTAAGATACGAATGTCAACGGATAAATTACGGTAATGTACCATTCACATAACTGTTTGTGTTCTCATTGTTGTCAATACATACACATTTATGATATGCTACTTTCACTGAAGTTTAACATGAATGCATATAAGCAGATAGGCACCAAGTCAAAATCAACAATTATTAAATTATTAAAAATAAATTAGATTTAGAACGTTTCATTAGTATTGCAAGCATAATTAATTGAGTCTTATGTGACTCATTTTTAATGACTAATCATGGTCAATTGGGGTTCACGCGTACATGTACATAGTCAACCGATTGCCCAGTTATTTACATTTGTATACGTATGCAATGAAAAAAGACCTAAGAACTCAGAAGTTCCATTTACTAACAGAAATGTATCTATATAAGGGATTGATATGATTTAATTTAATTAGTTTAGTTTCATCAATGCCTTATATAGGATAAGCATTTATGAGTTTATAAATGTATGTGTAATTTTTCATTTACAATTTAAAACGTTCCACATTTCATTACTACAGAGATAACGACTGTGCGGGAAGTGTAAATATATGTATGGTGATATCAGCCTGCTCCTTTTGTCAGGACTTAACGATGTTTATTCAGTGTAACTGATAGCACTGTGTTTTTATCATCTGGATTTACGTGATAGCAAAGATGTTTATGTCCTTTAGATTGCATTTGAATAACGTTTGATGTCGAGCCGACAAATGACCTCAATATGACGTCAGACGTGGTACAGAGGACGTCCCTACAATGCTGCTCGTGGTACTTGTGACTTAATCACCCACTGAGGTAGATGTTGCACTGGCATGAATAAACAGATGTATTGCTATACGATTACTGTAAATATTGATGCATCAGTAATGCAACGGTATTCTGCCAAAGAAAACGTTAGAATACGATTCAACAGTGTAAGGTTTGAGGTTAAATGTTGCAGCCGGAACCTCAATTTTCATTTGTTTATTCCTAGTGACACAGTGATTGAAATCTATGTTGTCAGGAATTTTCCATTCAAGGTTCCGCGACGGATTTATCAAATTTCAATACAGTTGAATAATTTAAATTATTTTATTTCATTTATCTGTTACTGCTTTTGTTTCAATTTTTATGTTTATTTTTGCAAAAGTGGAGCTCTATTGTGTCTTAAAATTGCTGAACACGAAAAATCGTAGCATACCATTCAGGTCATTTTGTTTCATAACGTTGTGTCAGATATCATACTTATAGCTTAACATGAAACATTCAAAGCAGATTCCTATATTCCAGTATATAATCCAGCCCTCCTCCACTCGTTCCCAGTATGTGATCAAAGCCCCCTCCACTCGTTCCTAGTATATAATCCAGCCCTCCTCCCCTCGTTCCTAGTATGTACTCCAGCCCTCCTCCCCCCGTTCCTAGTATATAATCCAACCCCCCTCCTCCCCTCGTTCCTAGTATTTAATTCAGCCCTCCTCCCTTCGTTCCTAGTATGCAATCCAGCCACCTCCCATCTTTCCTTGTATATAATCCAGCCCTCCTCCACTCGTTCCTAGCATATAATCCAGCCCTCCTCCACTCGTTCCCAGTATGTAATCAAAGCCCCCTCCACCGTTCCAAGTATACAATCCAGCCCTCCTCCCCTCGTTCCTAGTATATAATCCAGCCCTCCTCCCCTCGTTCCTAGTATATAATCCAGCCCTCCTCCCCTCGTTCCTAGTATATAATCCAGTCATCCTCCCCTCGTTCCTAGTATATTATCCCGCCATCCTCCCCTCGTTCCCAGTATGTAATCAAGCCCCCTCCCCTCGTTCCCAGTATGTTATCCAGCCCCTTCCTTCGTTCCTAGTATGTAATTCATCCCCTTCCCTCGTTCCTAGTATATAATCCAGCCCTCCTCCCCTTATTCCTAGTATTTAATCCAGCCCTCCTCCCCTCGTTCCTAGTATATTATCCCGCCATCCTCCCCTCGTTCCCAGTATGTTATCCAGCCCCTTCCCTTGTTCCTAGTATGTACTCGAGCCCCAATCCCTTGTTCCCAGTATGTAATTCAGCCCCCCCACCCCCCACCCCCCACCCCCCCAATCGTTCC